ACAAATTTATAAAGTTTCATAACATTTAAATAATTTTATATTAATTTATTAATAAAAATATGTGTTAAAAAAAATTCTGGTTTTTTTTGCATACTACTGTATATGATTTATTTTTTTTTTATAAAAAAGAAAAAATTTTAATTATTAAAATCACAAGTTTATATTGAATAATAGTTTGGAATATAAATTAATAATAATTTTTTAAAATATTTAATAATTAATATGTATTATATAATAATAGTTTAAAAAATATACAGTATTTTCTTGTAATAAAATAGGTAATAAATAGTTAAATTATCTAGATAATATAATAGTCATAATATTAAAGACTTAAAATTACATATATTATTATATTTATAAACTTGTTAATAGATCTTTGCTATTTAAAAAAATATTTAATTCTAGTATGCAAACTGATTAAAAAATAAATTCGAATTTATTTTGGTACCAAACTGTATATTGAAATAATTCGTTAAATATACTTGTTTATAATTAATTGTTTTTTAAAAGTGGTTTAAATTAAATTTATTTTTTTTTTTTAAATAAAAAAATTTATTAAACATATTATTAAGATAAAAAAACTGATAATAATAAGTCAGCGTTATTTATTTATATTATTATTAAAAATACATAAATGGCTAGCATTTAGGTGCACAATCGCAAATCAAATCAATAGTCAGATTTTGCTAAGTTAACTTTTGCCTCTTTTTTCACGTAAGTTTATTATTTATGACTGACAATTCCTCTTCCCTCCTTGCTGCAACTGCACCAGCAGACGATGTCGCTTCACATGTCGTACTGCAAGCGTCCATTGGCGGCCCACCTCACATAGGGGACTCAACTTTAAGTGAAAATCCTGGATCAAGTTCTCTTGCAGATTCAAGTATTGAAGACGTCGCTGCAAGGAACCCTGCATATGATCCTTCCGTATCAGACGTTCACTTGCAAAATGTAGTTCCATTTTACCGGAGACCTCATTTTTATAGCACGCTTTTGCAAACCTTTTCCCAGAATTTTCTTTTTCCTTTTATAAATGGAGTAATGTTGGGCTTTGGTGAAATCTGTGCAAACGAAATAGCATTCAGGATGGGATGGTTTGGTGTCAGAAATTTGCCCATATATACCCGTAGGGCAAATGCCATTGCCCTTGGACCAAAAGATAACTATGCAACTGGGGCTCACCGACAATCAAAGAAAACAAAAACCGTCGATGGTCGCGAAGTCGAGATAGACGAAGAAAATAGTAAGATGGCATATGCAGAAGCTTCCACATCCGCGGCGATCATGTAAATTCCAACGTATGATTGATGCAAAGAAAGGGGAGTCAGGGAACTAACGGTTAAATTCATAGAAATAGGCGTATGGATCACATGGATAATAGTATTTTACGATTACTTATTTCGTTTTACTTGAAGTAGGCGTATTTATGTTTTAAAAGTTTTCAGAAAGGGATAACACTGAAAATTAGAATGTACCATTTCGAATAGTGAGCCTCGATTTCTTCAAAAATAATTGCCCATATTTATGTTCCGAACTTTAACACGTCGATTTGTTCGTCATCTCTTTTTTGTCATGTGATCCTTTACTTATTTGTGGTACAGATCAACATCTCGATAAGTCCGTAAATAGAGCTTGTTAAAAGTTGCCATCTTTCTTCGTTCAACCTTATGAAATGGCAGCATCGCTGCGCATGTTTAGTGGACTTGCTTTTCGAAAGATAATAAAACATGAAATAAGACGAGATCAAAATTTCTCACGCATAATTTTAAAAGCATCTTTTTCTTACACACCCGTTTCATATGGTGTGTTGGATTATGTGAGAAAATTGAATCCATTTCACCAAGGAAAGGACGTGAAGACAGAAACGCAAAAGGACACAAATGACAAACGTCCAACTGAATCCTTTGAGGCCATATTAGATGAGATCGAACAAGAAGGAGACGGAACTCTGGGAGTGAAGTAAACTTTCATCTCACCTCATAAACCAAATATTAAACTACATAAAATAATGAGATATCTCGAATGATAAAATAACTCGCAGAAAGCTTAAGGATCGGGCTGAGATCAAGAATCACATCTATCATATTCTAGAGAATCATATACAAATACCGACGGATGTGGGAAAAGTTGGTTGGATGGATGTAAAGTTGGACGATCAAACGCTCAAATTCGCGGTATGGATTTCTTTTTTATTATTGTTATTTTGGAATTCATGGTTTACGCATGTGCGATAACAATTCTAGATCCTAAGAGATTGTATGATGGCTACCGGCAGAGTTGTTCCTAATTTGGAACTTAATAATATGAAAACAATCGGTGATGTCATAAAATTTTATCAGGTAGAAGAGAAGGATACGAGAATCGGTCATCCGGTGGCGGAGTGGTTCATTGAAAATAGATATAAATTTCCCCCGAACATGAAATTTATTCCTTATGTAAAGGAAGTTGGAGTCAGAAGACAGGATAGGGTGAAAAAACAGAAAATACCGAAAAAGGTTAAAGAAAAATTGGTCAAAGAAAAATTATATAGGAAAGAGAGACTGGCCGAAAGAAGAAAATTAAAACTTTAGATTTGTCCGAGTGTGTTTACGAGGCCCGAGGAGTATCAAAATTATCTATTGCATTGTTTGTCAATTAATAATAGATTTACTGTAAAACGTGCGCAACAATGTCTTTCCCTTATTCGTCCAATTCCTTAAATTACACCACTGAAATGCTTCTGCTACGTGTGACAACGTAAAACAGTTTATAAAGATGAATTGTGGCGACGTATGTACGCACCATATTTATTATCGTCGAAGTGCTCGACATGCGATCGCATATTTGTACTCTCCAAACAAACGAAATTGAGAAGAATAACACTAAAAATCCTACCTTCCTACATGTATAAAACTCCTTGTACAAAAGTAGCTCGTATCCAATCATTTTTTCTGAATTCAAAATAGCATTTAGTGTATTATCGACTTATTTTATGGTCGTGTGAATCGGCCAGCCTTTCTGACTGGAGAAAAAAGAAAGTGAAAACAAAGCCTTCAAACAAAACCGTTCATAAAAATTTCTCCTGAAACAAAGAGTTCACTCTCTACTTTCCGTCATTTTTTTTTATTATAAAGTCGCTCCTTTGTCTACCCTTCTGTCGTTACAATGCCTTTGGTATGTGTAATGTTTTTTTTCTATTACAGTCGTGATTGCAATGTCGTTCGACCATCACTCTAATTTATGAATATTTTGCATCCAGGAATTCGCTCTTCAACACAGGTAAATACAGATGCCAACATTTGGAATCTTACAATTTTGCGATTTTTCGAGATTAAACACATCTGGATCTCGCGAGATACCAAGATACAGTTTTAAACGCGTACACAAATTTTAACAATCTCCTTCAGAGGTCTTTTCCCCGATCCAGGTCCGTGGAAGATTCCCCAGACACGAAATGTTGTTCTCAGAGATACCCTCGGTATTGATGCCCTTCCCCGACAACGCTTCAACAAGACCAAGAGGACGCCCTATGTTCTTAATATTATGGTAGTTGGTTAGTATTGACAACGGATAATCTATGAAGTTGATTTAAAGACCTTCTTTGAAATATTATATTAATGATATTCATATTTAAAGGTGAAAGTGGTCTTGGGAAAACTACTTTTATGAATACCCTGTTCAACACGCCCCTCAAAGAAGAGATTCATCCCAAAAATCCTCAGTCCACACAAACAGTGGAAATTTTACCTGTGCACTACGGTTAGTTTCCTTTCTTTCATTGTCTCCACTGACGTTTTTCCGCCATTTTAACATGTGAAATTTCAAAATGCAGAATTGGTTGAAGATGGAGTCACTCTTAATCTCACCGTCGTAGACACTCCCGGATTTGGTGACCAACTCAACCGAGAGAACAAGTACATCATCATTTTTTGATTACACTTGTCATATTACATAACTTACACAATCCCTAATAACCCCTCACATAATTTCATAGTCTTGATCCCATTGTCGAATATATAGACAACCAATTTGAGGCCTATCATGCAGCTGAACGCAGTTCCGAATTTAGGCGTGCAATTCCAGACACTCGCATACATGCTCTGTTATATTTCATTGCACCAACCGGCCATGCGTATGTTTATTTTTTTGATCCCTTTTCTTGTTCACGTTTAACCATGTATTCACGCATGATCATTCATGATAGACTCAAAGAACTTGATATCAAAGCACTCCAAGTTCTGTCTGCCAAAGTAAATGTAATTCCGGTCATCGCGAAAGCCGATACTCTCACACAAGAGGAAAAAGCTGCATTTAAAAAGACGGTGAGTGAATTTAATCTAATATAATTTTTTCAAGCGTTTGTCTAGAGTTATCGCTAATTCGTTCTACAGATATTAAGGGACATTGATGCCAACTCGATCAGGATTTTCCCGACGGCATATCCTGACGACCGAGAAAGTGTCGAAGAACTTGAGGTAAATGAATGGCCAAAATAATACTTTCCTTCAAAAGGATGAATAAACAAATAGATATCAATCATAATATCTTATTTTACAGAAATATATTCCTTTTACGGTGATCGGCAGTGATACGTTTGTAGATGTCGGCGGCAAAAAAGTGCGCGGGAGATCATATCGATGGGGTATTGTTGAAGGTAAACTGCGGCGGATATTCAAATTAAATGACGCGACTGATTATTTTAATAAAATCTTTTTTTTTTCCTTACCTTTGATCAACAGTTGAAAATGAACAGCATTGTGACTTTATTCACCTTCGTGAACTCCTCATGACACATGCTCTTCACGATCTTCTCGAAACAAGTCACACGGTCCATTATCACAACTATCGCGCTCAAAAACTTCGATCCAGTGGTCGTCCAGAATCAATCCTTGCCTGTGATGATTCTTATGAACACAGAATTGAAAGAAGCAAGCAAAGCATGGAGGAGGAAATGAAAAAGAAGGAAGAAGAAATGAGACAAAACTTTATAATGAAAGTTAGGGAAAAGGAAGCAAGTTTGAAGGATAGAGAAGAACAGGTAACGTTGAACTTTTGTTTGTGAGATCATGATTTTTTTACTTGATACTCTTCTCAATTTGCATTCAATTACACTCTATTTCAGCTCAACCTACGTCGACAACAACTCATGGAAGAGTTGGAAGAACAACGTTTAGCACTTGCAGCCGATGAACGTGAATTCCAAGAATTATATAATGCTAGTCGGAACGCAAGGTAACTATCGTATCGTGATTAAAATTGATTCAAATTGAAACTTCGAGACTAGTGAATTAACGGGAAAATTTTCATGATCCTTGTAGTGTTTCAAAAGGCAGCAAGATTTTTGGCAAGAAGAATTAATATCTTACGTTTTACTATTATTTTAATTTAACTCTTTAATCCTCCTTGTCTTTGCTCTGCACTATAAACCAAACCTAGATGTTTTTTAAGGAATTTGGGTTAATCACATTATTGAATTATCTGCTTAGTTTTATTTTTATTTATTGACGGCATAATGTTGTCAATCCTCTAGACACATTTTTTGTTGTTTTAACGTTTATCGGGTACTAGAATTTCATCAACACTGAAAAAGTTTTTTTCTTTAGATTATTTATTATATTGTGTAGTAAAGATTTATTCCATAATAATTATTGAATGGTGCAATAATCTAGGGTAAACTCCTTGACATATTGCAAAGCTTTTGTATGTATATTTATAAACTGAGCGCCAAATTAATTTGTTGAATGTGTGACAGTTTTGCGAGTTTTATTGTTTTTACTTAAAAAGTAATTCACCTTTGATGTTTTCTATCTATTTTTGTATTAATCTACGTGTTCTTAATATTAAAGATACTAATTATGGACTGAAGCTTAGATTTGGTGATGATCTTATGTTTCACGTGTCTAGATCTTTGAAATATTCCTTCGCCTCCAAATAACTTTCTAATCCTCCTACATCTATTCTTCCTCCAACCTTCTCTGCATAAAATTTGACTCTTTTCCCGTTGATCGCCCATGCCAAAAAATTTCCCGGGCCATCTCGGTTTTCAATTGTTTGTGCCTTGTCATTTTGGGATTCTATAAGGAACGAGCTCACCAAAGGCAAGGTCTCACGTTTGATGAGGTAAAAGCATGGGCATGCATTTCGCGAAGTCGTGTGTCTGGGATCAGGCTTCTCCAGAAAGCCTGTCACCAAGATCATGTCTTTAGTTGACAAATCTTCTAGCGTGAGGATCCCATGTTTGCGCGTGGCATTGTCATGAACGGTGTAAGTTGTTAAAAAGCAGCCGTCATTGTCCACGGACATGAACCGTTCCAATAATTTTTCAAAATTGAAGTCGCCCTTGAATAAAGTGTCCCCTCCAATTATGATCACGTCAGAGTCATAGAGTTGGAAACTGCGTAAGCCGAACGCAATATCGGAGACGGCTCCTAACCTCTCTTCGTTACAGGTGGTCCCATTGTTTGCAATGTTCGAGGCCGGTACGCCATTATTGTTTGCCCAGGAAATAAAACTTTCATAGAATACTGCATTAGTCACAACATATACACTGGTGTCGACTTTGATTCGAGCCTTTCTAAGTATTTGGAGCCAGTGAGTTATCAACGCGTCCTTTCCACCAACTGGTAGGAGGGCTTTTGGAACTCCTAAAAGATGATTATACTTTCCACTATCATCCTGGAGGATATCACGTTGAAGACGAGTTCCGTATCCAGCGCAAAGGATCAAGATCTTAAGCCCCATTGATTGAACGGCTGTTTTCCACCAAATGTATAATAATTAATCTTGCTAAATTGCATTTTTTTAAAAAAAGAAAAACTGAGCTACACTTTTCCGCATTCATTAAAAAGGATCGATCGTTACACAATTAGTAAATCGGTTACGTCACGGTCACATGTTCATCGTGATTACGTACTTCTATAAAATTACGTATGCACATCAAGTTTTTACTGTCTCGAGTTTTTTCAATTTTTCAAGAATGGTGTGTTATAACGAATATTTTTAAAATATATCTTTTCAGCTTTTAAATAATGCTTTTAGTAACATCACATATATACTTCGCAGGGTAATACGCCATCTGGTCTCCCACCGCTTGGTGGTTCTGGTGACGACAAGAATAAAGAAGATAAGGTCATTATTATGAAAACCACAACGGTATATCTCTCGTTTGCTGATTCAATTGAATTCATGAATTTTTGTCAATAGGATAAAGATAAGAAAAAGAAATGGGAACCACCGCTTCCAACCCGCGTCGGTAAAAAGAAGAGAAGGGGTCCAGACGCAACCTCAAAATTGCCTGCCGGTAAGTACGAAATGACCTCTTTTCGTTGCATATCCATTAATTAACGATTTCCCGAATTTACTTCTCTTCGGCAGTCTTTCCGACAACGCGTTGTCGATTAAAACTTTTGAAAATGGAACGCATAAAAGATTACCTGTTGATGGAGGAGGAATTCGTTCAAAATCAAGAACGACTAAAACCGCAAGAGGAAAAGGCGCAGGTTGGAATTTTATTTAAAATATGTCTCTCTTCTGTCCACAGCTAAACAATGTTTGTTTGGTTGAATCAGGAAGAACGGACGAGGGTGGATGATCTGAGAGGGTCTCCTATGGGAGTTGGCACCTTGGAAGAAATTATTGATGACGAACACGCAATTGTTTCTTCTTCTACTGGTCCTGAGTATTATGTCAGCATATATTCGTTCGTGGACAAAGACTTATTAGAGCCTGGATGTTCGATCTTATTACACCACAAGGCACGTTTAAATTATAGGGTTGTCTTGCTTGTGCCGCAAAATGCTTACGAAATATTATTTTAATAGGCGATGTCTGTTGTTGGTGTACTTCAAGATGATACAGATCCAATGGTCAGTGTCATGAAACTTGAAAAGGCGCCTACGGAATCATATGCAGATATTGGTGGTTTAGAACAACAAATTCAAGAGATTAAAGAATCTGTGGAATTGCCTTTAACTCACCCCGAACTGTACGAAGAAATGGGTATCAAGCCTCCAAAAGGAGTTATCTTATATGGTGTCCCTGGGACTGGTAATAAATTGTTCGCGCTTTTTATTACTACACTAAATTCCTCGACTAATTAATTATGTCATTTAAAATCCAGGAAAAACGCTTTTGGCCAAGGCAGTGGCGAATCAAACGTCTGCAACATTTTTGCGTGTTGTAGGGTCAGAGTTAATTCAAAAATACCTCGGAGATGGTCCAAAACTCGTACGCGAATTGTTTCGTGTAGCCGAAGAACATGCACCTTCTATTGTCTTTATTGATGAGATTGATGCCATTGGAACGAAACGGTGCGTCGGGATCTTGAGAGCTTCATTTCCCCATTTTACTTCATGACAGAGCTTTCTTATAACACTGGTTATGTGATTTGATATAGTTATGATTCAAATTCCGGTGGCGAGAGGGAAATTCAGAGAACTATGTTGGAACTTCTAAATCAACTGGATGGGTTTGATTCTCGAGGTGATGTCAAGGTATATATATATATATATGAATATATTTCAAGGAAGCATTGTAATATAATTTAAACAGCAGATCACTTATTAATATTTCCATTCAAAAGGTCATCATGGCGACGAATCGTATTGAATCACTGGATCCTGCTTTGATTCGTCCAGGGCGTATTGACCGAAAGATAGAATTTCCATTACCAGACGTGAAAACGAAACGTCGTATATTTAACATTCATACAAGCAGAATGACATTGTCAGATGATGTGGATCTTGAGGAGTTTGTAATGTCCAAGGACGATTTGAGTGGTGCAGATATTAAAGTGAGTTACATTAATTGCTTGATTCCAGGTGATCCTGAAAATTATTCCAACTCATTTTTTTCTTTCGCTAGGCCATCTGTACTGAAGCTGGTCTGTTGGCTCTACGAGAGCGGCGCATGAAAGTAATTGCTGAGGACTTTAGGAAAGCACGAGAAAAGGTCCTTTATCGTAAAACTGAAGGCACACCCGAAGGACTTTACTTATAGATTATCCACTCTATATATTATAAATGTTTCAGATAGTTTTTTTATAAAAAGGTTTTTTTTTTTTTTATACACATCAGTACAAATGGTAATATTTCATTAGCAATTCTATTAATTCAAGCAGTGTCAAATCATACAACAACAGTTTGTAGTTATATTTATGACTCGAATGTCTTGTTCTATGACCGGATTAAACACAGTCGCTTTTGACAGATTACATTGCTAGTTTCTTGCGGATTTATGTTGCACAGGAGAACTTAGTTTGCTACATTTGCAAGAATCAAAATAAATTTCCTTAGATTTGTTTCCAACCCATTTGCCTCAATTTCCTAACTGCTGGAGGAGTTAATGCGGCTGTCAATCCTAACCTAAAAGGAACCAAGAGCTTGTGAATGCCATAAGCAATTACAAAAGTGCTCGTCCAAGACGGCGATTGACGACTGATATTTCCATCATTTTTGGAGGGTAAATTTTTGTCGTGTTTCACCTCCTTTTTATCAGAGGTTTTTTCTTCTTTTTTTAAGGTAATCAATCCTTTGAATGTTTCTTTAAACCAATCTTCAACTTTTTTTACCCGATCCGCGCCACCGGCCTGAATCAGAATGAATGTCAATCCTAAATCTAGAGTTGAAATAATGGTGTATATGGTTATTGCTGGAGCACCATATTTCTTGGTCAAAAATTTAAAACGTTCAGTCACGCTCAAATTCTTGTGTTGATAGTCATCCTTTGATAGTGTCGATATTTTATTTTTTTTGACCAGGTGTCGAAAACGATTAAGACCTAGTGTCCTAGTACCGACAGCGTCGGGAAAGTAACACCGATATTGATAATTCTTACACGAGAACATTGACTTTCTAATACACAAAGTTTTCAAATCTCGCATTATGTGAGGCGCTAAAAGAAAAAATCTGGTTCCCGAAGTTACACATGACGGTCTCCTTTTAAATAATGGAAGGACAATGGTCGAAATTGCGGAAATCGCGACTTGGTTGCTCATTCCTAAACCTCTTGCAGTGTTTGCGAAAGGAAGTTAAGCATCATAAATTCTAGGATTGATTACCATGCAGTAAAAAATTTTTAGATTATGACTTGATGACCAATCATAAAATAGGATTCGCGTCGCGTTCTTGCAATATACTGTACTAGCGTCGATCCCGTTTATTAGGGGTTTCATCTTTTCTTTACTCGACATTTTCTCTTTTCATCTGTTCGCAATATTCCTGACTTACCAGGGATGGTTACACTTTCTTTAGATCATGCACCTCCGCCTCCGATATATAAATTTCATTAATTGAATCTTAAAAAAGATTTTTAGATGGACTCTTTTCAAAAAAAATTTCTTTTAGTTCGATCCTCCAAAAACATTTATATTCATGAATCCAATATAAGTTTTAAGATTTTATCAATGGTTAGAGATACAGCGTATCATGTGAAAGATTTCAATATTGATATATTGCAATTTGATTAGACCTTTTTGATAGAAAATTTAATATAAAAGTTTATTTAAAATTGGTACATGTACAATGTATTAAATAGCAGTGGATTTAAGAAATTCGCAAAAAAAATTTTTGTTAGAAAATGTAATATCTTTTAAAATTAATTGAGAATATGGTTGTTATTTAATTAAAAAAATATATATTATTATTATTATTATTATTATTATTTTGAATAATTATAAAGAAAGACTTTAAATAATTTTTTTTTTTTTTTTGCATGTCAACTAAGATCTTGCCTGTGCATGCTTTATTATTTAATTTACATATGCATTACAGGAATTATTACAGTATTTATTAGATTATATTGATTTTACTTTATATTAACTTGTTATTATTGATTCAATACAAAGGTATTGAATTAAGGATTAACATGTCAAGGTATTATTAATGTTGCTATTCTATTTGTAGTTTAGTTTTATTTTTAATTAAAAAAATTAAAAAGAAATTGAAATAAGAAAATTAAAGATACAGTAATACCTATATTTAATAAACAAAATACTATAAAGAAAATCTTTTAAATTTATCTTTATCATTTTTCTTAAACCATTCAAACATTAAAATACTTATATTAACTTGTTGCTTATAAATTGTTTCAATTATTAGTACTTACTGATTACTTTTTTAAAATAAATAATTATTAGAATAATTTTAAAGTTAAATTGTTTTAATAATTTACAAAAAGAAATACCTAGTATTATAGAAAATAATTATTAAATCATCTAATTAAAAGTAAATATCATATTACTTTTATATAATATTATAATTCTAGTGCTTATTAAATTAACATAAAAAATGATTTCATATAAAAATCAATATTATAATAAGTTATAATATCATCCATCTTTATAAATTAATTTAATTATTTTTATCTAAAATCAGATTTGATATTTTATAATACAAACTTGAAAACACTAATTACTATTTTATTTGATTAATAGATTAAAAGACTTTAAATAAATATCTATTTTTAATATTTTAATTTTTAAAAAAAAATTTTTTTCAAAAATTAAAAAATTATATAAAAAAACAATATAACTTTGCAAATGTTAATTTTGATTATATAACAAATTTATAAATATAATAAATATATTGCAATTGTATTTAATAATAATATTATTATAATACTGTATATAGAATATTAAAGTTTTTTTAAATTTATTTTATTTAAAAATTTTTTAAATAACTTATAAAACAAGTCAAATAAAATCCAACTTGCTGTTTTAATTAAATCTCTTGTTATATAACTTTCGAATACTATATATTTAAATAACTTGTTACTGTTTTTTTGCTTTGTAAAAAAATTAATTTGTTATTACAGTTTTTCTTAATAAATTAATCAAAAATAAAATTATTATTATTATTTGAAATTTAAATATATTGTATATACAAAAAATCATTTTATATTGATAATTTAATGATTTATAAACTGTTAAAAATAAGATTTTTTATTAATTATTAAAACATAATAAATAATTATACTGTATTTTGTATTTAAAAAGTTTTTTGAAGAATTTATTATCCTTTATCTTTTTTGTTAAATTATAGCCTCATGTGATAATTGATACAGCTGTTGTATCTAAAGCTAAAAAATAAAGAATTATTAAATAATTACAATTATATATATTTTTAAATAGAAAAAGTTAAAATGAAATTGAAAAATTGAAAAAACTTTTTTTACTTTTAGTTAGCTGGCTTACACATGTGATAAATGTTATCTGACTAATAACGAAATAGTTAAACCCCCATTTAATTATTTTATGTATCGACAATGCGTAAATTATATCAGGTTTCAAACAATTTCCACACGCATAAGCTGATTATCAGTTGATTTCTTTGTGGTGTAATTAAGGAAATCTACGGTCAGAAACTTTTTATTCCTCGAACATTGTTTAGGATTATCAGTAAATCTGATTATTGAACCAATTTTGGTATCAGATCAACTTAATTTGAAGTATTAGTTTATTTAAACAGAGTTAATCACTAATACATTAACGAATTGATAAAAATAATACCGATTTTAAAAATGTATGGAGTGTTTGCTCGAATACATTTAATAATATATAATTCAAATGGAGATGATATTTAACAGACCAACATAATAAAATAGAAGTTGTGATTTTGTATTCCAAATGCGGCATGAAAATCTCTTACTTGCTTCTATTAGATAAGCAGCAAAATATTAGTTTGGTTTTATAACTAATAGAACAAGAAGGTTCATTGCAATAATGTTTAGTAAATGTCATGTTCTAAATTAATGTTAATCATCCAATATTTCATATAAATTAATTTGATGCTAGGATTTCGGGAGGCTTAGTAGAATATGAAGAAAATCAATCCGTCTTCATGTAAAAAAAAAAATATACATATAATACACTTATTTTGAACCTTTGCCTTTCTTGATCAACCACTGCAAAGTGATATCAATGTTTACTTGATTCTTGGCAGAAATTGAATAACAAGAAACTTCGCGATTATCGATGGATCTCAAGTCCCTGTTTTTATCGAAGATGTTAGAAATCTATGATAGTTACCCACAACTCTTAATTTAGGATGTACGTACATTGCTTCAATAATTTTGTCAACTGGTAAAGCCTCAGATAAATCATTTTTATTTCCTAAGACCAAAACTGGAATATTTGCAAGCTGTGGTTTTTCTAAAAGGCTGTGTAATTCATTTCGTGCGGTTTCCAGCTTTTCATGATCGGCGGAATCAATTACAAATCTATTTGGATCACGTCGGTTAAAGTCTCTTCAGAACAGGTGATTACAAGAAGCAAAAGATGATAATACCACGATGACTCACACAATAGCGTTTACTCCACGACAATAACGTTCCCACATGGTTCGGAAACGTGGTTGTCCTCCTATATCCCATAATTTCATGGTAACGTTTCCTTTAGTAACTTTGCGCATGCTGAAGCCCACAGTAGGTATCATATCTTCCTTGAATTGACCAGACTAACGTAATGCGGAATAAATGATATTAAACGAAGATCAAAGGATACTTTCTCGACAAAGAGACGGTTCGATATTTGAGATTTCTGAAAGAAACTTACTGCAATAATATTCACCAACGTTGTCTTGCCGCTATTTTGGAGACCAACTAACGTCAGTTCGAGCTCGGTCTATATACAGGTTGCACGATCAGAATTTTGTTAATGACCAAAAACTTAGATTAAGAACGATGCAATATAAAACTCACTCAACCTTGAAGAATAAACTTCTTAACCAATCCAAAAACGACTTTAAAATGGCTGCCATTGTAAAGGAATAAGTTGAAATTGCTATCAAAAAAGTGCAAGTAAAAAAGAAATATGGTTATGTAAAGAAGCAAAAAAAAGAACGACGGACGAGCTGAAACTAAGGGAAAATTTAAAGGTTACAATTTGTGAGAGTTAAATAAGCAATAATTGCTTTATACACGTTTTATTTGTGTGACCAGATGATGATCATACAAGTTTTGCAGTTATATTAAAAAAATTATCAATTCGTGTGTTCTATTGTTATTTATACCAATGTCTTCTTACTTGGAAGCAAATTGGGATGATCTTACTCCTGTTCCGCAAGACGATGGACCAGAACCACTCGCCCCGATCTCTTATGAGCCTGAATGTATATAATTCATGTTCTTTTTAACATTTTAATCGTGATGTATAATTCTCAATAGAAACTTACTTTGACGACACGGGAATAGACGTAAAGGCCATGGACTATTTTCGTGCGGTTGCTCTGAAAGACGAACGCAGCGAAAGAGCCTTGTCACTAACGGAAGCAATTATTAAACACAACCCGGCCCATTATACTGTTTGGTAATTCATTGCTTTACAACTAATCGTCACCAACTTCTTAATAACGCATATTACATTATATAATATGAAAATGTTAAGGCATTATCGTCAGCAATTATTAACATCTTTGAATAAAGATTTATATGAAGAGCTAAATTTTATCACGGATCAGGTGCAAAATAATCCAAAGAACTATCAACTCTGGTATGAGCTATCAATATTATTAATCTGACACTAAACTCATATAATAATGTTTTAAATTTATATAAATACAAAAAGGCATCATCGACAAATTATTATCGAGAAGCTCGGTGATAGCTCACGTGAATTACCTTTCATTGAAGAAGTATTGAGTAATGATTCGAAAAATTATCATGCTTGGACTTATAGGTTTGTATTCTTCTGTCGGAATTCGGTTTTTATATGTTATTTTCGTGTTTTTTTTTTTCTAAACACAACGAATGACCTTGCGGTATATACTTGTTTATAGACAGTGGGTTATTAAGACTTACAATCTCTGGGATGGTGAATTATCTTTTGTCGACAAATTATTGGAAGACGATGTCCGAAATAATTCTGCCTGGAACCAGAGATACTTTGTCATCTTTTTTAACCCTACTAAACCCACCGAAGAAGTTCTTGCGCAAGAAATTCAGTAAGCAAATTATATAATGATAATTACTTAGACATATGAATTAATTTGACAAAATGAAACCTTATGATTTTTACCACGCAGATATGCAATAACAAAAATCATGCTGGCCCCTAATAACATTAGTCCATGGAACTACGTCAAGGGGTATGTGCGTATTATTTGATAATAATAAAAATTTTATTCTAACATGGCGCCTATTTCGCTTGCTTCATTCTTGTAGAATCATATCAAAGTCTAATGAACAAGATATCAGCGTCTTGGAAGAATTATGTAAAGATTTTGAGAAACAGGACATCATATCTCCTCATGCGCTTGGTTGTCTCGTTGATATATACGAAAGTCGCGCAAAAGCTGGTTCGACGGAAGATAAGGAATTAGCAATAAAGGTGCCTTGTGTTTCATTCATGAATTCTATGTTTTATTTTTTACCACCGTCTTATTTATATTTTCGATTTCTCGTACGCGATGCAATTAGACGTGCACACTTTTAGAAGAACAGCACGATACCATACGTCACAAATATTGGAACCACAGGAAGCAAATTCTGTGCACCATTTAATAAAGATATTTATTATGAACGTGTTGGTTACTAATCTTAGAATGCTCGTGTGTTTCCTATTATAATGGAGAAAATAATTATGGATGCGATCCCGGGGTCGCTAATAGGTGAGATTTTATTTGTATAGTTCACATTATATTTGTATGCAATGACTGATTAACATCAGATATCCATTCTGAATAATTTTACTAGGAACCTTGTTTTACTTGAATTATATACTATTATGAGTCAATATATTGATACACAGTAATCATTAATATTCTTTATTGCTCTTGTTCAATGATTTTTCAAAAAACAATAAAAGATTATAAATTTGTGTATTATTACTTTTTTAATATTTTTTAATATTTAAAACAAAAATAAAATATTTACTTATTTTTTTTTGAAAACAGTACAGTTATCAGAATTGCAATATAAATATATTATCTAGTTAGGTTCTTATTTTAAAATCATTGGTTCAAATTTTGTTATTCAGCTGTTAAATTATAATTAAATAATAAAAAATATTTAATAAAAAAATAAATATATATACAGAAACCTTAATGTTTAATTTAATTAATATTGCTAAATATTCAATTAAAATATAATGTTTGTTAATAAATTAATAAAAAAAATTTTTTTTTAACTTGACTAGCTGGGTCTTGTTTATACATCCTTTTTATTTAATTCACATATGCTTTACATCATGTATTATAGAAGGAAGTTACCTATAAATTATTCTAGATATTACTAGACTATATTGAATTTTACCTTTATGTTAACTTGTTGCTATTAACTATACATGTGATATAAATTATTTGCTATTGACCCAATTCCCAAAATCCTCAAAAATAATTGTATTAATTATATCAAGGATCTATAAATTTCAATAACATGTATACTATTGACTATAAATCTAAAGATCTATATATATTAAGGTTAACATGTTAAAGCTCCATTAGTGTTATTATTATAGATGGGTCCCTAAACTATTTAGCATATAAAATTTCGCAGATCAATTATATTCCTTTTGAAGGGACATAATTATTTATTTATTACTTTAATAGGAACATAATTCAAAAAACACTTGGATCAAGTGATCTAAATTGCAAAAAACCTTTGTAAGTAGTTTTTTTTTAAACTTATATTTAAAAAAAAACTTTTTTAATAGTGTGGGACATTTGAATTATGTTCTTGCCTTCAATTTAGGAACTCATCTTTAATTATTATTATATAAAAGGTTCTATTTCTAACTGGAAATATATTAAGAGAAAGTATAAAGAAAGAAACTGGAAGTAATACCTATTAGGTGAATAGAATCCCTACAAAGAAAATCCTTCTAAATCTAATCATTTGCAAATAGGTATATCATTTAATTTCCACCTTCTTAGAGCTATCCAAGAATATTCAAGAAACTTATCTTACAGATTTACTGCCTATAAATTATTTCAGCTATTGATACTTACTGCTGTTTTTGTTATCTTTTCAAGATAAGTAACTGTCAAAGTAATCTATTACTGAATTGAAATAAGATCTTTTTAAAAACTTGCAAGAAAAAATATCAAATATTATAAGAAAACAATTATCAAATTATCTTACTGAAAGCAAATATCTTATATACTTTACAACTTCTAGTGATCATTGTAACACCAACTAGATAATTGTTATGCCACAACACTTTTTCTGAAAATCATAATCTCAATATCTATTAGATTAGCATATAAAATAACTTTTCATGAAAAATAGTACTTTTACAAATTATGTTATCAAATATCATATTAATTCTATTTAACTTCCCTTATATGGGATTGAACTGGTATTTTGTGATTTAATTTGTAGAGTGTTAACTACTACAATATAGATTCACAGGTTTAATAAATTAATAAATACTTTAATATAATTAATAATTAATTATAATATTAAAAAAGTCAAGTAATGTTTTTTATACAATTAAAAGATATAAATTAACAAAACATGACAACAATATTGATATAAATATATATATATTATGAAACAAAAAATAAAAGATTATAATATTTTTTATTCTTTTTTATAAACTTTACTTGTATTACAATATTTAATCTTGATAATATAATTGAATATTTTATAATAAAACTTTATTTAATCATAATAGATAGCAATGGTAATAATTTACTTAAAATAGAAAACAAATAATTAATTAAAACAAAATTTTTATTTTGAAAAAAAGAACTCTTTCCACTGATTCTTTTACCAACACAAAAAAACAGACATTCCAAGGAAATTTTATATTTCCTTATAATAAAGTCTATACACTTTTATTAACAACACCTATACCAAGAGACAATAGTCTCCCTCACTTGTTTCTTTCTCTCTTTGACATAAACTTCCTGTATTTCTATAAGTAAATACAAGAAATATCTACTTACAAAGTTAAAGGCAAGAAAATTTTGCTAGGAAAAAGAACCTGTAGAAAAAATATCCTCCTTTTTTCTTCTAAAGATTCAAGATTCTAAAAAAGACTGGCACAGTTTTTGGAACTCTTTTCTTATCTTTCTCAAGCTTCCTCCTATCTTTTCAAGTGTATAAACTTTTTTCTGGTTTTTCTGAAAAATTTTGCCTATCTCAATTTGATCCTGAATTTTTGATTACACTAGAATCCTTG